GGAGTTCCCATCAGACTGTCAGCTGGTTTCTCAAAAGAGACCTTGCAGGCAAGAAGGGGCTGGAAATAAATATTCCAAGTCATGAAAGGCAAGGACCTACATCCAAGATTGCTCTATTCAGCAAACCTTTCATTTAGAATGGAAGGGCAAACAAAGTGCTTCTCAGAAAAGGTCAAGTTAAAGGAGTTCATCATCACCAAGTTCTTATTATATGAAATGTTAAAGGGACTTATCTAAGAAAAAGAAGATAAAAAACATGTACAGTCAAATAACAGCAAACTCACAATTATTAACCACACCAAAAACAAAAGCAAAAACAAACTAAGCAAACAACTAGAACAGGAATGTAACCACAGAAATGGAGATCACATGGAGGGAACAGGGGAGTGGGAAGAGGAGAGAGGGGGAAAAGGTACAGAGAATAAGTAGCATAGATGGTAGGTAGACAATAGGCAAGAGGAGGGTAAGAATAGTATGGGAAATGTAGAAGCTAAATAACTTATAAGTATGACACATGGATATGATCTAAAGAGGGGAATGTGGGTGGGAGAGGATGTACAGAGTGGAGGGGAGTGAAGGGGGAACAATGGGACAACTGTAATAGCATAATCAATAAAATGTAATTTTTAATATATTTTACAACTGTAATATGTATTACAGTTGTCCCAATTTTACCCTTTTGCCCCCTATCCACAGAGTGCAACCCAATCCCTCAGGCAATACCCCCACCATTGTTCATGTCTATAGGTCAAGCATATAAATTCTGTGGCTACTCTAATCCCTATGCTATACTTTATATCCCCATGACAATTCTGTAACTACCAATCTGTACCTCTTAATCTTTTTACTTTTTTTGCCCATTTCCCCATTCCCCTCCCATCTGACAACCACCAAACCGTTCTCTATATCTATGATTCTGTTTCTGTTCTGCTGGTTTCTTTATTTTGTTTTTTAGATTCAATTGTTGATAGATACTGTATTTATTGCCATATTATCATTCATATTTTTGTTCTACTTCTTACAGAAGACACTTTAACATTTTATATAATAATGGTTTGGTGGTGATGAACTCCTTTAGTTTTTCTTGTCTGGGAAGCTCTTTATCTGTCTTTGGATTCTAAATAACAGCTTTGCTGAATAGCGTAATCTTGGTTGTAGGTCCTTACTTTTCATCACTTTGGATATTTCTTACCAATCTTTTCTAGCCTGACAAGTTTCTTTTGAGAAATCAGCTGACAGTCTTACAGTTACTTATAACTAACTGCTTTCCTCTTGCTGCTTTTAAGATTATGTCTTTGTCTTTAACCTTTGGCATTTTAATTATAATGTGTCTTGGAGTGGGCCTCTTTGCATCCACCTCATTTGGGAATCTCTGTGCTTCCTGGAATCATATGTCTATTTTCGTCACCAAGTGAAGTACATGCTGTACTTAGTTTTTTGTTCCTTATATTCCAAATTGCTCATGTGAGTCTCAGCTTCATCCACTGTACTGTAATTCCTTATAAATTGTTTTTTATTTTAATTAATGTTTCCTTAGTTTCTGACCAGATCTCCTTTTGCTGTTGAGTTTCTCACTAAGTTCCTTGAGTCTCCTTATAGCCAGTGTTTTGAACTCTGCATCTAGTAGCTTGATTGTCTCCACTTTGTTTAGTTCCTTTTCTGGAGTTTTGCTCTGTTTTTTCATTTGGGATGTGTTTTTTGGCCCCTCATTTTGTAACCTCCCTGTGTTTGTTTCAGTGTATTATGTAGAGCTTCTACTTCTCCCAGGCTTGGTAGAGCAGCCTTATATAGTAGGTGTCCTGTAGGGTCCAGTGGCACAGCCTTCCCTATTGCTCAAGGTGGGTACTCAAGGCACACCCACTGTGTGGTCTGTGTACACTCTCCTGTTGTAGTTGAGCCTTGATTGCTGTTGGTGTATCAGTGGGTGGGATTACCCCCAGGCTGATTGGCTGCAAGGACTGGTTGTGACCACCATGAATGATCAGCTGTGCAGGGGCCCACCGCACAGAGCAAGGCTTACTTCAGTGGGGCTCTTGTACCCACTGAGCCTGACCCTTGAGTGTGCTGCTTGTAAAAGTGAATGGGTGGTGCTTTGATGTAATCTGGAGCTGTTTACTGGGTATGCAGGCTCTAGGGCCTCCTGGGAGGTACAGGTCAAGGCCATCTGCTGCTTGTATTCTGCCTGGTGCTTCCCAGTATGGGCTACAAAGTAATCTGCAGATGGCTGTTACTTGTGCTGAGTTTGGTGGTGCCCAGGAGAGGTCAAGCTTCAGACCGAGGCCAGCTGCTGCTAGTGCTGGGCTGGGGCCACTGAAAGGTATGGAGCTTGCCAAGGTCAGATGTTGCTTGTTTAAGAGATGTTAATAAAGTCTGAAGCATGAGCCAAGATGGGCTATTTGTATGGAAAAGAAACTGGAAACATTTTGGGTGGGCCCAAAAGTTGGGTGTGGTGGGGGTCTCAGATAATTACCAGGGCAGGGTCAACAGTGATAGCAAGGTTGATAGAGATTCAGATATAATGCCCACATGCCCGCTTTGTCAGGGGAGGGCTCAGTAAAAGAACAATGACTTCTGCCAGCACTTCTGTCTGGAAGAAAGTTGCCCCTCCAGCTTTCACCCTAATGCCAGAGATTTAGTTCCTTCTCATATTTCAGTATATACCTGGTGCTTTTCTAGCTGTTGTCTCAGTGCTGGACCTGAGAGGCAGTGAATCTGAGGAAGTCTCCATGAGGGCCCTTTACAAGGAACTGCTTGGGACTCCAGGAGCCCTCTGTTTCCCTCAGCCCCATTCCCCATTGGTTTTTACAGACGGAAGTTATGGGGATTACTTTTTCTGCACTGGAACCCTGGGCTGGGGGCCTGACATGGGGCTGGGACCCCTTGCTCCTCACAGGGTACCTTTGCAAGCCAAGATATCCCTTTTAGTTTTTATCTGCCACACATGAATGTGGGACCATCCAGCCCCTTCTGTGTCTCTGCCCCTCCTACCAGTCTCTATGTGGCTTCTTCTTTATATCTTCAGTTGTAGCACTTCCATTCAGGTAGATTTCAGGCAGTTCTGAATGATGGTTGTTCTGTGGTTTAGTTGTAATTTTGATGTGTGTTGTGGGACGATGTGAGTATAGCATTTACCTACACCTCCATCTAGTCTGTAAGCCATTATAGAAGACTTAAAATTGGATTTTTCTCCTCTAGTTGTCTTAGAAACTGCTCTTTTATACCTAAATATAGAACAAAACTCTAGCAAATGAAAGCGTAAGCAATTTCTTCTATACATCACAATGTGCAGGATATTTGCATGACAAATGCGTGTGGGATGCGTTCTGTATTTCTGTGTGTTGGGGGTAATCCCCAGCTCACAAAAGAGGTCAGTGAACAAGAACAGCTGTGACCATCACTGGTGGTCCATGCTTAAGTTGTGACTATTGTGTTATTGATCAACCAGGCCCCTGTGTCTTTGCCACAAATGCCATTTTCTCATTTCCCCCCAGGAAATTTTTACATTTTCACAGAAGCTCTTGTTGACCTTCATTCTCTTATAATTATTCCTTAATTCTGTTCTAGTTGGCCCTCCTAACATAATAAAGAATGAGATCTCTGTAACCATAAAAGGGTTTGTGTGACAACATTATCGTTCCTTTTGTTGTGAGAATTAACATCAACTTTTACTTCTAGAGAAACACAGCTCTGGATTGATACAATTAACCTCGAGTCTCACAGGGAACAAAGCACAAATACAAGGAAAGAGCGTGATACTGCTGTCTAGAGTTTATAACCACTCCCCACAGTTCAGTCACCCTGTGCTCAGCCCCTCACCAGTCACTAGCAGACACATGTGCAGCACACATTACAGAGTTTGTGGGAGACTCACTGTGGCCTGCGAGCTCTCTGCTGACTTGGCTCTTTAAGAAGGCCAATAGGGACATGAGTTGTTATGGTTTTCTGACTTCTGTTAGGTTGTGGAGATATTTCCCAAGGGAATAGTATAAAGTGTGAATAATTTCCCAAAAAGAATAGCACAGCAGTTCCTTCCAGGAGATCTTGGTTAAGGTTTGTGGCTTTCATGTCTCTAGTTGACGGTGCATATTCTTGTCCTGTGATGGCGTCAAGTCAGTAGCATGACAAGTCAGACTGGCTAAAAATCCCAATTTGTTATCTCCATATCATTTCTAAAGCAAAATAGGCACAAAACCAATCAAAATTATCACTCCACGCTGCTTAGGGTTAAATGAAGAAAATAACAAAATGTTCATTGAACTCTGCCTCCACACCTATCCCAAATGTACAGATATGTGGGGGTATAGAGAGACTGGACAGTGGTAACATCACAGGCTTGAGGGCAGAAGAAAATACTACAGGTTGGAATTGATCATAGAGTCTAAATTTTCTGAGGAAGTCCTGATTTTAAATATTCTATCCTGTCGTAAGATGTGTTCTGTTGCTTCATCCTCAAAACTTAGTCATAAAAAATGTAGGGGAAAATACTGTTTTTACCCATGGTAGCATTCTCTACACACAAATGCTATCATTCACATACTTGGAACTAGGACAAAGGGAGAAGGTCTCTGTTGAACCTATGCTACCTGGTCTGGTTTCTGTAATCATGCTGAAAGGTGAGCAGAGCAAGCTAAGAAGGCTAGTCCCAAAGGGATGGGACCAAGTCTGGAATCACAACTGATCTGGCGAGATGTGAGTAAGTGTGGGGTTTGGCTGTGTTGGTGAAAGCAGAGAGGTTGATTTCAACTCAGTTTATAGGCACAAACATGGAGTCTGCCCAGGATTCAAGTCAATCACTGCTTCCATGGCCAGAGCAGGGAAATATGAATAGGCATCATTCTAGAGAAATTGCAAGAGGTTTACATGGACTGGAAAACAACACTACCTTCTCATTTTTCAGTCATTTTTTAGGGTTAGAGATGATGTCTTGGAAGAATTAACAAAGGGCATTTATAACAATGATTTTTTTTCCTGTTTCTTTCTTTCTTTTGTTTCCACCCCAGCTCCCAACTGCAGTTCCCCACTACCACAAATAATGCAGTTGCATTTCTGACACTTGGGGAAATTGCAGGGGTCAGCACACCTGGAGTGCAGTGAGTGAGCCTTGCTCTGGGGAAACTACCTTCAGGATCATGGTTATCTCCTCTGCCAGGTCAGTTTTCACAGTAATTTGTGACCAAGAGTATCTGTAAAAAAGAATGTCTCTTGCCAGGATCTTCAGAGGAAAGCTATGCTTCCAGTTCCACAGACTGACAACTATTCACTGTGTGATGCTAATAAAAATGTGAGGCATTTTAAAACTCAAGGGTATTTTTTTAATAGCCATCTTCAAAGAACTCTGATTTCTAGTTATCTTATATGATAGATGATAATGACTAAATAAAATGCTTATCTGTCTTCACCAAATGGCATATAAAATATTTATACAAATTGATACTGCTGGATAAATTGCAGATTCCCTATACTTGGGTTCATATTTATTTCCTTTTTCTCTGCAAAAAGCCAGTATGTTATTACTAGGAGACTATTATATTTTGGAAAAAGCTCTAGATAAAGTCCAAGGCCACATGACCAATTTTTAGTTATATAATAAAGAACATAAATGAGAAAAGGAATTAGGCCCAAATCTCTCCAAGTTTCTAAGTTTTCTAAAGATGCTATTAACTTATGAATCAAAGGGCATAGATTTGAGTCCTGACGCTTCTCTAAAAAGATGTTTGACTATTGTTAAGTTAATTTGATCTTTGTTGCCTAATCTGTAATGAGACAGCTACTCTGGATGAAGTAAGTCTCTTCCAGCTGTAATTCTGATTCTGACTCTGGGGACTGGTGCCGTGTGTAGGCACAGGACTTCTTACTGGGTTCTAGGGAACGCTCTATAATATGGAACTCCTAGGTGCTTTCTCCATCACTCGAATGTTGTTGGATTGATTATTGTGTCCAAAGCTTTAAAAAATACATTGAATGTGTATTTTTTATTGAGTACTCTAACTGATAAAATATGGGGAAGATGCTGAAATCAAGTGAGAAAAGGCCAAATATATAAAAATATGAAGAGATTAATTTAGTTTCTCTTTATAATAAACAACCCAAACTAAAAATAACAATATATAAGCAAGAACTGTTCTGATAGAACCGTATAAAAAGAAATAGCTTCATTGAAACTCAGCCTGAGGTTTTATAGAGAAAAGAGTGGACTTGGAAAGCCTCCAAATCTGTTAAAAGAGAAACATTTTTTTCATCTCTATTTGGGATGATAAATGGTGCATTTCAGTTCTAGAGGCCCAACTAAACACCAAAGATGAAATAATGACTGTATAAATGGCTAGAAATAAACATAGCTGCAGCTTTCTCCATATGAGGAATTTCCCTAATAATGAAGAGCAGACAAAGGATTATCATCACAGAGAGGAAATGAGGCTTTAAGCAAATAATTAAGGAGTACTAAATCATCTCAGAGAATACTCATAAGAATGTAAAAGATAAACACCATTTGCCATATTGTTGAGAAATTATGGTAAGAAAAAGTGAATGAAATAAAATTAGTATCTGGGCGGGATTGTGGTATTGTGGTCTCTTACTAGGTGCAAGGTTTTTGGCAAATTATTTATTCTTCAAGATTCTTAATTTTTTTCCCTTGTAAAATGGGACAAGTAATACCCTCAGTGGTGTGACAGGATTAAATGAGGTCACAGATGTAACCTCATAGAAATGTTTCTGAAACTTAAAAGGGGTCAATACTTGGTGCCTATTATTATTTAAGAACAGAAACAGCGGTGTTTGATGCAGTCGGTCAAACCCAGCTGGTCAAATAACTGTATTCTATTATTGATCTGAAAGATGTTCCCCACGAGAGGTGACAGCTTGTAAAATATCACATGTAAACAATATGATCCAATCAGACATTTTCATAATTTTCTTAAAGTTGGGACTCATCCACTTTCATTGCATGAATCAGTTTCTCTTTCTCAATCAGACCAGTTGAAAAGTAATTCACCCACAATTCTATGACATGCTACAGTCATTAATCATCTATGAAAACTGAGGAAGGAAAAATATTAGGGCGCTGGGGCACCCCCATCAGGGCAGTTGGAGGCTTGGTCTGAGAGACACTAGGCAGAGCCTGGGGAAAGAGTCTTTCACTTGCCAAGAAAAAATGCTGAGATTCTGATGAAAGAGGAAAATAAATCAGAGGTAATTGTTCTAGAAAATCATGATTTCTGATACAACCAAGCACTTAAACCACACCAGCATGTACAGGGTCATCATTAGCTGGCAGCACTGCAAACAGTATTATAAGAGAAAGCAGCATAGTTTGCCAAGCTCTCTGATAAAGTCAAGCAAGGATTTGCAGATAGTGAAAAATGTCTAAGGATTATTTGAATGAGGAAGCTGTAAACACAGATTACTCCTAGGTTTTTCTTTTTGGTTCCAATACTTTAACATTTGTCATTACTTAAAAAGAACTTTTTTTTTTTCCACTAAGCATTGAAAATAAGAATCCTGAGCATTGTTAACAAGCCTGCAGTCTGGTAAATAATAGCTGCATCCTTCTTACTCCTCGATGTAGTTATAATTTAACAAAAATGTTCTTTTGTGAAGAAGTGGATTTAAGTGTGAGGCACTATTAGCAACCAAAAGAGAGAAACATGAAAAAGAACAAGGTGTATTTTCCTAGCACTGAGTGTCTCCTAGTGCAAATCCAAAAGTGCTCCCCTTTAGATTCTCATTGTAAGAGAACGATAAACCTAGAAACAGAGGGGGTCTTCATATCATACAAAATAATTGGTATTCAGTATGGAATGGTGTAGTAGCAAGGCTTACCAAGGCAATGCTGCATGAAGTCGTTCTTGCAAACCTGACAATTGTGGTCAAGTGTGACTGGAATCCCTGACAGAATAGTAAGTAAGGATGGAGAAAGACTGTTTTGTTTTGAGAACTGTAGCAGAGCTGCACTGTCCATGGTATTAGCAGCATCATTTAAAGTCTATATTGGTTATGATAATGACAAATATTGCATGTTTGATTCAGCTCCCTGATATTAATATTCCCTTATATTAATGCTGTGGAGAGCAATGGAGACTTTATATAAAGGTGTTTCTTTCCTGCAATTTTTCTTTTGCCCTACAGGCCTTCATCATGGGAAGAGACTTCAATTGCCTCAGGAAGAGAAGAGTTCCAGCTTAAACCAAAGAAATCATTGGTCATATTCTAAGTAGCCTTTTGAAATTAATAAAGAAGTGTGCATACCACTCACCCTTTAAGAGTGAGTAGGAGCATGGGGTCCTTCTCATGGAACAGATGTTGGACACATTGTAATAGGTGGAATAATGGCCCCACAAAGATAGGCGGGTCAGAGTCAGAACAATGCAGAATAAGAAAGACTTGATCAGCCATTGCTGGCTTTGAAGACGGATGAAGTGGCCACAAGCCAAGGAATGTGTGCAGCCTCTAAGAGCCAAAAAAACAAAATAGATTCTTCCTTAGAGTCTCTGGAAGCAATGTAGAAGCCCTGTCAACAGGATTTTAGCCAAGGGAAGCCCATGCTATAGTTCTAACCTCCCAGGACTCTAAGATAATAAATTCATGTTGTTTTAAGTTACCAATTTTGTGATGATTTATTATAATATCAATAAGAAACCGATACTGGCATCCTCTCTCAAATCTTTGTTTTCAGTGCCCTTTCATGTACTTCAGCTGATAGGTGCACCATTAGAAGGGTTTTCTGATTACATTATCTGGTTTTCACTGACTTAGCTTTCATAAAATAGAAAGATAGTTTTAAAAATTAAAGATAATAGGCCCTGGCTGGTATAGCTCAGTGGACTGAGCATGGGCCTGCAAACCAAAAGGTTGCTGGTTCCATTCCCAGTCAGGGCACATGCCCGGGTTGCAGGCCAGATCCCCAGTAGGGGGCACATGAGAGGCAACCACACATTGATGTTTCTCTCCCCCTCTTTCTCCTTCCCTTTCCCTCTCTCTCAAAACAAATAAATAAAATCTTTTAAAAAATTACAGATAATACTAATGTGAGCATATGTAAACAACAAAATAGAAAAGTTGAGTTGCTTTGCTATATAGCTCTTCTTTAATCACTTTATAAGTTAAACATGATGGTGAGATGATGATTCTATCAAATCTGATAAGAAATTGGCCCCCAAATTTAGAATTATCAAAACTATGAATAACATTTACTCTTGAATATGTGGAACCAAGCTCTAAATAGATCAAGCTTTGATAATAGTCACTAATGATATAAGGTCACCACAATGGAAAAGTGCTTTTAGAAATACTGAAAGTATTGAATGTGTTGCTGGCAATAAAAAATTTACTTGGAGAAAATATTTTCCAAGAAAAAACTGGAAACTCAATGTAAAAAAAATACACAAAACAAATGTTATTCTAGGAAGTGAAGTACATATGATGATTATAAAAATGACTGAAGAAGCCTTGGCTGGTGTGACTCTGTAGGCTGGGTGCTGGTCTGCGACCCAAAAGGTCACTGCTTTGATTCCTGGTCAGATCACATGTCTGGGTTTCGGGCCAGGTCCCCAGTTGGGCGCATGCAGGAAGCAACTGGCCTATGTTTCTCTCCCTCTCTTTCTCCCTTCCTCCCATCTCACCAAAAATAAATAAAATCTTAAAAAAATTTTTTTTAAATGAACAAAACCCTCCCCACACAAATTGAACAACCTGTATTATTGAAGGGCAATTCTGAACAAGTAGCAGCTTTTTAATAAGGTAATTATCCCAAACCTCAAAGACTGATTTAAAATTTAATAACATTGTAAGACAATTATTTTTCCATCTAAAATGTATGTAGTTATGGATAATGGTTATCAGCTCTAAATTTCTTGATTCACATGAAAGAATCTGTGTGACTTAAATCAGATGGAGGAATAAGATGCAAAGTAGAAATCCAGCACTGTGAAGGGAAGCAGAGAGAAGCTGACCTGGGAAATAGAATTGGACATCCTGGTGACTTAAGGGAAAGATCAATGTAATTCTGAAAAATCCTAAACAAAAGAAAAATGTGAAATACCTGTTTGTATGAGGCTCCCACAATATCTTAAACTATAGATTGTTACTGTTGATAATAATTACTTTATTACCTTTAGTTTAAGGTATTATATTCTAGGTATGTAAAAAAAGACAACACAAAACTAAAATAAGAAATAAAAATTTTTACTACTTAAAGATGACAAACGGCTAAGAAGCTGAGGAATGGGTTAAGGGGTAATCTGGGATGGCTGGGAAACATCTGGCAGTGTCTGCCCTCCCATCTCCTCCCCTCGTGGATTCCTGACATGTTTGCATGAACCTCATGTATACGGGAGATTGTGGCTTCTTTCATCCGGCCTCCTTTATGGTCTCCAGAACCCTCAAAGCAAGTATTTATGAGAAACAGATTTGATAATGAAATGGTGCAATTGAGAACCCTGAAATTAGCTTACTCATAACCAGCAAACCTTTAGTAAGCCTCCACTTTGCTCCAGTTTTGTGTCTTCCCTAAGATATATACATGAGGTTCATGCATGTATCTGTCTCTCTAGAAAGGTTTTAAGGTCCTACTCCTGTATCCTGTCTCCTTGTAACATATGTTTTTGCAGAACAAAGCTCTGAACAAATGCTTACTAAATTAAGAACAAATCTTTGGAGAATATTCTTTGTATTATTATTGTATTATTTGCAAAGCAGGGTCAGTGATTTCTAGCAGAATTTAAGTTCATTTATGTACCTGCTTGTAAATGCTCCAAACTGTTCCCAGATCTTAGACTATAACTGATACCTTTAAATGACAAATCTTTTCATCAGCTAGAACAATAACGTTAGAAACCCAGCTGTCAAATAAGCTGTATTCTCCATTTGACCTTTAATGGATTTCAGAAATGTAATTTTAGATTTCTCATTGGCCAGGGTCAGGTTGCCCTCATTTTTGTGATACTCTGAATGTCTGAAAAATAATCTCTGTCCTTGTGTATATTAGACAACATGTATCATGTATCCTTTTTCTAGTGGATCTATCATTTCCTCCCTCTAAACATCATCATGAAAAAGAGAAGGTAATTAACTATTTCAATGGTATGCTGGTACATGTTAAGGAGTGTTACCCACCTCAGCAAACTGAAATATGGGTGATGGATATAAAGTTACAGTTTCCTGTGTCTAGTATTTGGACCTATACAAATACACCCAGGTCAATGTGCCAGAGCCATTCACTTTTTCTTAAATTGTAAGTTTTGGAAGACTGGTCCTAAGAGATACAAACATATGTTTTGAGATAAAAAAAGATTTTGTGTTTAGAGCAATTTGGAAAATTCTGGATTAATGAGAATTAAAGAGGTTTCTCTACTGTACGGTTTCTTAGGTAACGAGATTGTAATTTCCTTAGAGGTTTACATCTGAGATATACTCAAATATACAGTGGTACCTCCGTACTTGTTAATTCATTTTGAAACTCGTGACAAGTATTGAAACCGATGAGTACCCAACGAATTTTTCAAGCAACAAATGATGAAGCATTTTCACTTGCGGGGCGGCATGGTGACTCCTGCAAGTTCTAGCAAGTGCGACAAGTCTCGAGCAAGCACCGAGTGCTGAAACACTTTTTTCTCATCAAAATGCAATGAGTACAGGGTATGCCAAGTTCTGAAGCTGACAAGTACTGAGGTATGACTGTATTTCAACAGGTGAGATATATATATATTTTTTGTTAGTTTTTTTCTAGAGTACCTCATGAAATCCTGGAATATAGTTGGAGAAATGCTGACAGAAGTCCCCACTCCCCTTGTTTTTGTGAAATTCCTAAGCATTGTTAAAAATATCTAAGCTCTAGGGTTATTTGTGGTATCCTGAGGGCTGAGTCAGGGTTTGAGTGTGCAATATTGAGGAAGGAAATAATGACTTGATCATGGTTTAGCTCTTGGAGAAATCTTTGGGGATTCCAAGGTGACTTGGGGACATTTTTTAATTTTTATTGAATTTATTGGGGTGACATTATTTAATACAATTATGTAGGTTTCAAGTGTGTAATTCTATAATATGTCATCTATGTATTGTATTGTGTGTTCACCATCAAAGGTCAAGTCTCTTTCTGCTACCATTTATTCCTTCTGACTTGAAGACTTTGATTCTGAAGCAGCATGTCTTTGCATGGCCAGGAATGACGGGCTAGTCCCAGGGTCTTTGAGGTGTGTTATGGGATGAAGTGACTGAAGTGCCCAGAGAAAGCGTAGGCTGATAGAAGCACATTAGAGAAGAAGGAAGTTTTAAGAAGAAATGAGGAAAGGAAGTGATTGATCTCTTAGTTTCCTCATTCTTCTTTGACTATTTATTTCTATGGGAATTTCCTTATAATGTCTGTTCTTTTTTAGTTTTCACATAATTTTTCCCTTCAAGTCTCCTGATTTATTAGGTTTTTGATCCCCAACAACAGAATTAGGCTCCACATCTCATGTCATTATTCACTAAAACCAAGACTTATGGTTCATATTACTTAGGGTAGCTGGCTTCTAATAATGTGAGGAAGAAGCAAACATAACTTAGGAAATAAGACAATATCTGCCTGCTATACAAAACAGGATTTGGTAGAGATCAAAGGCACATATGAGGGTCTGGTTTAGTAGGAAACTTCAAAAGCACCCACATAAAGACCATTCCTGATAAAGGCAGCTTCCTTTTATATTTGGGCCAGATGATTTCCATAGTTAATAGGCTAATTTGAAAAAACATTAGTCAGATGAACAAAAAATTGCTCAGAAAGGTTAAATTAACATGAATATAGCTTTGAGCAAGTAAACTTTTATCAATAAAAATTTTTAAATGTATTGGCCTGTATTTACATTTACTGCTATAAAAACATACCAAATATTGGCCTAAATAATTCTGTAATTCTACCATACAATAATATTTTTTAAAAGGGTTGAGGAATTAAGTTAATATTTTACTTTAATACTTTACACAGGGAAAGGTAAGAGAAAATCCTGAAAATGACAAGATGATGGCCCATGTTTTTTTTTTCCATGTTTTTCTCTATATTTGTTCAAGTCATTTTCTTTCGTTCATCTTAATATATAAGGAGTTACCCTTAGGAGAACTCTGAGAAATGTACTGATAAGTTAATATATCATCAGAATAATATCAAAGGAAACAAATTGCTGGCTGCTCATAGGCCACCTCCAGTAATGCAATACAGTTCAAGATGAAAGGTTAAGTGCCTCCTGCAAAAGGAGAGAAGCAATCATTTTCATCATGTGTATTTTTTGGAGTGTTTTTATTGCTAATACAAAACAAAATGAATCCCCCCTAAAAATTAATAATTGTGTATGGACATCCAAAGCACATTGTAAGAGTCAATTATAAAGTTCAAGTGATCTCCGGCGTTCAAAGGCAATTTTATCATTTTAATTAGCAGTTTATTCCTTTACTGGACATCAGAGTAGCTTGTAACAATGTACTCTATGGCCCACCCTCACTCTCAATTTACAGTGGATTAGAGAGGCATTAGCTCTCCAAGGTCGCTCAATACCTTTCCTGTTTATTTACATTGGCAGTGGT